TTTCGGGATCATTTGTCTACAAAACCCTTCTCAATCGGTTCCAAGGTTTTCCTAGCTGATTGAAAACAGCTAATTGTATCCGAAACTCTAGTATTCAGAAATTTGTTGACAAAAACTTTCTAAATGAGTCAGACCTCTATGTCTGACCCTGGCCCCGCGAAGGGTCCCGAATTTGAACCCCAATAACCGTTCCATCATTGTATAGAATTTTGAGTCTGATGCTAGAAGGGTCCTCAGACAAAAACCTACATCCTATTACTGCCTTGCGGATCACACTCTTGAGTCAAAGACTCAAGGTGGCTTACCTCAACAGAATCCCTTTCGGCCTGAGCAACCGAAAAGTATCATTCTTTCACAGGCCATCACTGATAGCTTTCCTCCTCGATGGAGCGACGCACGGCAGTCAATCCATCCACCAGTGGCCAACCATTGTTCCGTGTCTAAGCTAGCGCTGAGCAAAAGAAACCAAAATAACCCTTTACTAAACTCAAGATATCTGATTTACATTGCTAATCTCAACATCCGCACCGTGTGTTTAACTGGGCAACAGGAGGCTCTTGCTCAGACCTTGTTCACTTTTCTATTAATGTATGTTGTGTTTCCGAAAAACCCATAAAAGACCTCATTTAGGACCAGCTCAGTTGGTTCACGTTTCATTCTTCGGATATCTGGTGATCTTGACAGATGGCTTGTGGTGTGTACACTGTCGGAGTCCCACACAGCCCTAGAGCAGAAAGCACTTTACTTGATTGAATCTCAGTAAGCAGTCGTTTTCCACTAAATTAATATCAACACAGGTCGATGCGGTAAACGGTGTTTTTCATCTTGTCAGCATCTGTCCCAACAGATCAGTCGTTTTCACTAAATTAATATCAACACAGGTCGATGCGGTAAACGGTGTTTTTCATCTTGTCAGCATCTGTCCCAACAGATTGCAGTCCCGAATCTGAGTAGGACGGGTTTGATCAAGACCTACCGCGACCACTTCGGCTAGTAAGAACAGATATAGTCATCATGGCGGGTTATATGAACCCCCAGGTTCGACGACTAAGCCCGGAAGAGACAGTTAGGTGGCAGATGTGCAGTCGGTGTTCAACGTATGGATATGGAGGAGCGATATTTTCAGTTGTGTGCTGAACGTCCATTTGTTCCTGGTTATTAACCACTTTCCGCACACCAAGTTACCCAGAGGGCACCAACTACAAGTCATTTATGGACTCAGTTAAATCATGTGGCTAGCAGTTACCGATGAAGAGCCTCAATTAAAGATTAGCGTTTCTCCTGAGGTACACAACGTTTTTCTAATCATGCCATTTGTGCAGGTTCACTTGTCATCTCGCTGCCCATCAGCACCAATCGTGTCGAAGCAAAGCGGTTTCGCTTATCGACTTGGTCGAGTTTCAACAGCTCAGTGGCATCGATCTGATCTGGCTGGAAAGCTACTGCAAGCCACTACATTCACGTTTTTGACCAAGGCTAGTTGGAGATCGAATGGAAGTGAATGAAATAAGCCATGCTCTCGGCCTTTGAAACTGTCTTCAAAGTTTTTCGGCTCTGGATGCCGTCAAGATCAGATCTTCGTGCTTCCAGGAAAGCCGTACCAGCATTTAAAGACCATGACAGCACACGTAGATCCTTCAAACGCTGGAGACGACGGCGTACCGGATAATCACTACTTGACTCCACTCCATACAACTCGAACAAAGAAATATTCATTATTGGGCAATTTCCTACAATACGTGGCTCTCATTTCCCCATCCTCTCTGACTTGATAAAGTGACTGGAGCCACGGCTTCGGCGCAGTTTGTTTACTCAGAAATCTACTGGCCGGCTGACCGTACAACGCACACAGCCGATTTGTACTTGCTATGCACAGCTGTTCGCCACGACCCACTTTTGCCTCGTGTTTTGTCCTGGTTGCTCATACGGCTACCTTCTCTTGTACTCTTTCTTCCATACCCCCGGGTTAACACCTATGCCCTGTCATTCTTTAGGTATGAATTCTCTGAGAGACACGACACGTCGCGAAACACTTTTCTGGTTAAACCAGTAAGCTCTATTAATCCTATTCACGATCACTACCTCAAGTGCGTCCTTACTATGTAGCATATTCCCAATATAAGTTTTGGGTAAGCCTCCAGTTTGGGTGTTGTTACCTGTGCTCTGTAGCGCGGAGAGGAAAACAAACTACCCTAGTGCATGTGAGAGTTCGGTAGTTTTCTCTAACCCCATGGACTTTGTATGACATTGGCTATATTGTAGACCTGTCCATAGAACTGTGAATGCGCTTTTACACATGTGGTAAGCTCAGTGGTTGCAGCAGATTCACAATTAATTTTCATATTCATGTCCTCGTTTCTTTGCGCACTCAGGTCAGGTTCCCAAAGGCCCCATCGGTCTAGAAAGTGCAGACTACCAAGGTAACCCTCCTATGCCACATTCTGGAAACGCTCTTCTCCTCATCCTTTCGTGGTCAACTGTAATATCGAGTGCGGCTTATCTCCTCTGTATTTTCGGCCCCACCATTACTGTGTACCTTTCTACCCTATTTCATCGACTGAGTCGCGGTCGCTTGGGTAAAGCTCCACAAGAAACTACTCCCGGAACGCTTATTACTTGGGATCCCGGTCACTTGGTACCCAGAGATTGTTGACTCAGTACTGTGGTATTCGCATTTATCTGAGCTGATTTCTCAGCACATTGACTACGTCCTTGCGTTGCCTTTGGCGTTCAAAGGCTTGAGGATGATACTCTGAACGATGGCATGGACCAACATTTGCCTTGCAGTTTCTGTCGATATCATCGCATTATTCTCTCGTCCCATCGTATGATAAAGAAGTACCTATAATATATCATTTTTGAAGCTCCGTGCCTTTGTCGTTTTGATGTCATCTTATTATGCTTCAGCACAGAGTGAGTTATCAGTGTGAGTGGGTTTCGGTTCATTAACTTTAAGCAAAAGCGACATATTATTACAGTACCACCAAAAATTCTTTCAAGAGCGCGTTTCCTTTCAATCAGTCTTGTTTGTGATTTCCTAGGTTAGAATCTCACCGCGATACCCAGCTTCGGTGTGATGTACCAGACGACCTACTGAAATGACGAGATCACCTGGAAGGAGGTTTCCCGAACTTTATTTCTGAAGCATGAAGTTCTCGGAACTGACGATCTAGGGGGACCTCACACTTCCCTCGTCTTGCTTTTCGCTGTTCAGTACTCTTCAAAGATAACATACCACACGAACATTATGCTTCATCGAACTCTAACTCATGAGAATGTTCCCTGCGGTGGACTTTTTGGCTGACCAAGTTGTCCTGAGTAGACGACAACAATCCCATTGTTCAATCAGATGGACTTGACAGATCTGGTGCCTGAATTACGTTTGATTCAGAGGACAGCGGTTGCTAGCGTAGTTTCGCTGGGTCGCGCTAAACTGAAACTGAGGGATTATGTTCACAACACACCTTATTCATAGAAAAACCGGGGGCTTCACAGGGGATTTGGACTTCGCGTCATTCTGGTACTAGTACAGAACGAACAGCCCCAGGCCTAACTTTGTCCCTGTTTGGTAAAACCCGCTCAAACGCACAATCTCCTTCAGTCAGTTGATACTGACCGGCGGTGAGAAGGAAAACAGATGAAACAACCGTCAGCACAACCCCTCCGGTACCATTAGCTACCCCGTCCGCAATCGGTCTGCTTTGGTGAAAGTTCACACGTGACTGAATGGTTGAATGAACAACGCTCAAGAAGATGGAATTCCTCGCACCAGGTAACGGTTTTTGTCAGTACAGCGGGTCAGGACTGGCTTTCAGTTGTTCTCCCTGGCATCGCAATTTGATTGGACACATACACAAGTTGCTATTACAAGGGGCGAACATTCTCGGGAAAAAAACAATAATATGCACGAAAGAATGTCTCCTCGCCGTTTGGGTTTTCGCCCTCACAGAACAGACAAAACAAAGTGGTGCTAAGCAAATGTGGCGTTCTATACGGTTAACGGTATTCCCCGGTGTTTTTGCTCAAAAGATTGAATAACCCTGTCTAGAATGACGTGAGAAAAGTTCATCAATAGACAAAAGATACTTAAATTTATTCGGTACAAAAGCATTATGCCACACTGAACTGGGCCATTTGAACCCGAAGTTTTATCTAGCCGTCGGTGAATCAAATGAACTTTAGTGAGACAGGAGGGCCACACCAGTACATATACAAGTGATACCCAATAAACCTGAAAGTATAAGGCTACAATATACACGTACTCAGCCTTCCCATTTTTTCGTTATACATATAATGGCCCGTGAGGGCAGACGCGACCATAGTCGTAGCATTGGCCACGGCAACCGCGGACGAGAGACCTGTAGAACTATCTAAAAGGAAGGGAACTTACTCAATGTTTTTAAGGCAAAAACAAAAAGGGCGGATCCAAGCTGGTTCACGAGTAGGAAAAACACATACTAAGAAGACAATTTATGGGAAACTGAGGGACAACGGACTTGCAGGTTGGTTTTGCTATATTTCATTAGTACATTAGTGATTCCCCAAACAACCCCTATCGATAACTGTATACCAATAGAGAGCATGTGACGTGCACAGTGTCACCTACAAAGGATGTGGAGAACAAAGTTTAAAAAGACTTGAGTCTTACGCACACCTGCCAACTAGACTGATGTTATCAAAAAACAAATAGCCAAGGCTCCATGTTTGTTATGGACGTTAGGACTGCGAGAGCAGCTGTTGAAGCATCTATTCACACTAACTTACCGCAAATATCTCACAATGATCCAATCCCGCCCTTGGAAAAGTCAGTCTCACTAATATCCATGCCGTTCGATTCTGTCGATCGGTCAGTACTGTTAACTACACTTGCGCAACAGGGTATGCCCCAGAAGTTTGTGAACCTACTCCGATCCCTATATTCATATACTTCTGGGAGGGAGATATATGGTGAGCTCTCCAAAAGCTTCCCTGTAAAAAGTGATATCGGACAAGGATGTCCACTGTCTCCATTCTAGAGAAACTTTATCACTGATGTAATAATGTGGCGAACACTGGAAGGTCTTCAAAACCCCGGTGTTCAGATTGCTGGTGGTAAGAGCCTTGTCGATCCGGAGTACGTACATGAAATCGCCCTCAACTTTAGAGGCCAAAACGAAGCACAAGCTCTGTTGAATAGACTGACCACCATCTTTTGGCATGCGCCTTGCACCTTCAAAGTGCAAAGTCATGCTTCAGAACGTGCCATCTGCGAACATCTCCCCTACGATTCAAAGAGAATCACTGGAGATTGTGGAAAATTTTACATACTTCGGCAGTTGTATTAGCTCTGAGAAGTCAGTGCAAGAATCTCAAAGGTTCGAATCACTTTTGCTAATTTGCGTCACCTGTGGCGTCAAAAAGGTTTAAAATTAGATCTTCAGGGTCGCGTGCACCAGGCTACATTAAGGGCTGTGTTGTATGGGTGCGAGACATGGCCTCTGCGGACATATGATGCGAGGCGCCTTGACAATCGATGCCTCAGAAACGTGGATGGCGTCAGCGTGTTAGTAACGAGGTGTTTAGAAAACAGATACTTGGTTGTGCGGCAGGTACTTCAATCGGGGAAAACATGCAGCACCACCGACTACGATGACTCGGTCATGTGCCAAAATACTGTCTACCGAGACGAGTGTTGTTCTCTATGCCTCCTTCAGATTGGCACAAATTGCGAGATGGACAACGCACGACCGTAGACGTCCGCTGCTAGTATGGCTCTTCTGGTATCAGTAAGATCTGCTGATCTCTCGACAAAACCCATTGAACATTAGTTTGAGTTGGATAGTTTGGGCTGATAGTTCTTAAAACTGAGAGCATACCTCCTTTCACTGTTCCATTCATCCTCCAGCCAATCTTTCTCATCGACGCAACTGGGCGTTTCCAGTGGCTATCAGGCCAGATCAGCTCGATATCATTCACCTATAGAAACTCGGTGGAGTTGATGAACTGAACGAATCTGTATCGGTCTGCGTGGCCTTGAAGTAAAGTGAGCTGACAACCTAGCCCGCGCAACGGAATGACTGAAATCAAGCTGCGTACACCAGAGGGATAGGCAGTCCTTATTTGAGGCTCGGCACTCGTAAACAGCGTTCACGTGATCCAGTTGAGCTCATCACCCGTTTGCGACTGTTGGTCTTTCAACCAATATGTATTCAGATGTTTGCGGTAATATTACGATAGGATTACGCTGCTTTTGTTTAAGCCCCGTCCACCCTAACTGAATTTTTCAAGAGATAATGATCTCACTCGCCGATTACACGCTGCAACAGTTCTGCACCAACACCACTCGCTAAAACGATGCAAAATGACAACTGGAAAATTCACTTTGGCGTGTCAAGAAAGGTTCCAGTTTATGGTGTTCGGTCGTCTATATAACCTGATCACAAAGCTACGTTGGCTCAAACAATGGTGTCTTTCGAGGACAATATTTGTCCCACTCTGTCCATCATCTGGTCTCACGGCCACGTTTGTCACCCAGACTTACTCAAAAGTCCAGGAAAGAGTGTAGCTATCCCCTCACTCACACACTTTACTGTCCAGCTCACAATCGCTCGCTAGATCACGAGATAAATCTTTTCTACACTCACAAACACGTCACACAAAGGTGACTCATCTGACGTTGATTGTCTGTACTGTCTAGTAAGCGTAGCAATAAGTCATGTGTCGACACACCCACGTACACGCAAACGTATTTACATATGAGAAAACCGAACGCAGTCAACGCACACAGACTAGCACGCGCAGGGAGCAGAAAGTCAACCACACTCCATAAGTCCACGGGCAATTACGGAACACGTGCAGCAGTTATACTGCGGAGAAAACACGTTCCTGCCGTCCGGACTTTCACCAAGGTACTCACAAGCGATAAGTTCCCATTTTGATTTGCTCCACATTGCACTTATTTTTATACGTGTTGCAATTCACCACATTCAAGCATAGTAAAAAATGTTATTAGTGTATATGCATGTTTCGAACCAAACGTAAAACGAAATGCTGTTTGTCCGCTACTGCTGTCTACGCATTAATGGACGGTTAAGTAATTCGACCATCAGCTAAATGCATTACTTCACAGAGCTTCTGTCAGGCAGTGGAAGACCATCGTCAGTGAAACCAAACTTCATGTTGTGAATTTACAAATGGTGGATAGAAGACCCAGAGAGCTTCAAAAGCCCACTTTTCTACTGTCCGGTGAATAGTCGTTTGGAGGAATAGCACAGTATCGATCAATACCAGAGGTGTCAGGAATAAACTGGATGATATTTCTATTTGTTGAAGGGAGTCATCCGAACCTGCTGCTTCTCGCGGAAACTACCATCTCAAGCATTGAAGTAAATATTCATGGTTGCAGTCTGTCGTGCCGATCGAGGCGGAGTCGGGATGCATAGGGGCTATCTACGAGTCCACGTATTAGAATCCTTCGGACCATGAAGTTCGGCATGAGACGCTTCACGCCATTGATTGGGTGATCTACAGGTTTCTTTCGCAAAGGTCTCGGTCCCAGATCAAGAGCTTTGGTGAAGCAAGAAGCTGTCAGGGGTTTCAGCGCATCCAACGCGGTTTGGGTGATGTTTTGCTGCCATACAACAAGTCAAGTCGTCCAGCTGTAGCACCCTTTCGGTGCCTAGCTGCCATGCCACACGAATGAGGCACGACGGCTGGGATACTGTCAGGTCGCCCAAGCCTAGACGGGGGAAGTCGAAAGGCAGAGGTCGGGTTCGAACCACGGACCTTCCGGTCAGTAAATTCGCGCTCTAACCACTTGGTCCGTCCACTCTACTTCCAACCCCGGTAGTCACATTTTGGACTTAGTTTCTGATCGGATCTCAGTACGCA